AAGAGGTAAGGGTAAATAATTCATTAAAATAATTATTATTTGTAGCCTAATGTTGTATAAAGTACTGTTGCAGCAATGCACAATGGCACCCTCTATAGAGGACTACAAATCTCAGCAGTACTTTATACAGAAATGCTATTGTTATATAAAGTATTGCTGGGATGTGTATTCCTCTATAGCCGGTGCCATTCTGCATTGCTGTAAATATTAGGGCTGCACCGATATATCGGCCGCCAAAAGATATCGGCCGGAAATGGCACTGCTACTCTGTGTCCCAGCGGGGAGGAGAGAAAGTGGCTGCCGGCCGAACGCTGCGGGAGGAGAACGCTGTGTTTTGGGGGATGGGGGGGAACTAAATCTTGCACCAGGGCCCTTTGTTCCTTAGGGTCCACCACTGCAACTACCATGGCTATTTCAAGTAAACTGGTCAGAGAAAATGTATGGGGCTGGCATTGCTAACCTCCATTTGAGAATTCTACAAGCCTGGCTGTCCTTGGTTTTAATACTTTGAGTCACTAACACGGAAGAAGCATGCAGAATTACTGATTGCATATTTGTTTCAAGCCAATAACTTAAAAAGAAGACAATCTAGGGCATCAGCAAATCAGGTATCTTGTGGTTTTTTTTTAGAATGGGGTCAATAGGGGCAGCCTACATAATTTTTTTTGTAATGTGTTTTCTTTAAGATCAGATTGTATGTGGTTGTACTATGCAATCACAGATAACAATATTCTTTTGTCCACCACAGAAACATGAATTTCATGTCAGGCAGCCATTATTCAGGTCTTTCTGATTTAGCCAAACAAATGGATGGCCATATTATGTGACTGGTTTCATTGGTGGATGAGTATTTTATGAGTGTGCTCATGTCTCTTTGCATTCAGTTAAATTTCTCACAGGACAAACTGGCTTGAACTGATGCCAGTAAAGGGAATAATTAGATAAATGTAGTGTAGATGGGTGCTGGCCTGGGTCCCATAAGTTAAAAACCACGTGCTCTACTGGACAACAACTAGATCTGTTATTAAAACTAGTTACCTGTCTGTGACATGTGTAACTGCCTGTAATACTTTCTTATGTTGTATTCCATCTTTCTGCTGCACAGTGAAAAAATAATAATTCATGTCTACAGCAAAAGTACTGGTAACCAGCTGCTGAAATGAAGCAGAGGGCTGTCCTTTTTCTGCACTCCCGGGGTAATTTTAATACATGGACGTTCATTTATAAACTGAGATATGGAGTGTGCATATTGATCCAAGGTAACAGAATAACATCTTGAGCTCAATATTCATAGGAAATATCCCATTCATTTGTGTGCTAAGATATGAGTAAAAAAATAAATGTTTTAGGGTAGAGCCCTGTGTCAGGTTATACAATGGCATACAAAGACAAAGAGTTTTTTTTAATAGATATCTGAAGACCCAGAAAATAGTTTAATGCATTTCATACATAAATAGCTACCGGTATATTGTTTGAGCAGAATTGGTAAAACCACAGACTGCCTGATAAAGAGGCTTTAGGCACTGGATATTTACCTTGATTTTCTTAGTATAATCCAAATGTTCAGATTTATTAAAAAAAAATAAAATAAAGAACACATTCTTTAGATTTTTTTCATAGAAAAATCATTTATAGTATACATTCCCTTATAAACAATAAATGCAGTTCTCAGATAAGACAGGTAAGAGAAAACTGGATGTAAATGAAGCAAGAAGTTTTATTCTTTAAAATCAACATCCAAATGCCGGTGCCTTTGTCAAGGCGGCAAAAAAAAATTTCAGAATGACTTGTACAAAAATTATCTGGGAAAAAATATGGTAAATGTTGCTCCAATCCACATAATCTGTTAGTGGCAACCAGGTGTTGATTGCCAATATAGGTCCAGTTGCCTTGACTTTTTTTTACAGATATACCATGACCTGGATGAATGAGAACCTTCACAGATATAGCTAAGTATATTGGTTTGTTTTGTTTTTTAGTTTTGTATAGCGAATGATAGGGTTAGAACCCCTGTCAGGTTTTCATTGCTGTAGGTGTCTCCACTGGGGAGATTTACCCTTTCTATGTGTCCTGGTGATCATCACCGGGTCTGTGAGTGAGGGAAAATCTAACATTTACAGGGTTATTCACTAAAGGGTGAAGAGTTTGGAGAAGGCAGGAGAAGTGAACACTCTAGGATAAAATAGCTGAACTGGAAAGTGAGCTGTATTGGAGAATTGTTCCAGTTCAGCTATGTTGTCCTAGATTGTTCACTTCTCCTGCCTTCTCCAAACTCTTCACCCTTTAGTGAATAAACCTGATAGACTTGTCACCAAAACAGAAACAGACGGGAAATCTATCAATGGGGACACTTGTTGCAATGGCAACTGAATTTTCTTTAGATTCTCTGGTTCCCCCAAAGATGCCATTAAAAATGGCCATTAAAAATAAACTCTCCACCCCAAATACTTAGTTTATTTCTGGAAAATGGTATACCCCCTTTCACTGGTTCTAAGCAGCTTCTGTCTTCCTTTCCTTTGTGAGCTGCAGCATATCAACTAAAAGGAATAGGTTCTGACTGTTTAGGAGGTAGCCAATCAGAGCCTTCTTCTCACACATTTCTCAGTTATAGGATGCCATGGAGTGATCACAATTTGTAAGAATACATTACCAAAGGTAAGTGGTCAGAGGAAGCTCAATGCATATTGCATCACTTACTATTTTTACAAACAGCGAGTGTTTGTATAATTTTACCACTCTATATTTGTGTATTTATTTTTTCACTAGTTCACATAGGTCTTTTTAGAATAATTTTCTATTATCATTTGTTATGAATGTACACATGTATATATATATATATTTATGTATGTACACAATGTAAACATGTATAAACTGTTTGATTATGTTGTATCTGAGGATTCAGAGATTAATCATAACCTTTGCAACACACTGAACAGTTTCTGTTTACATTGCTTTACTATTGTGCTGTGGTTACATAATTATGTCTCACCATGGATACAAACAAACATGTAAGCATATGAATACATTTAATCTGATGGCTGATTAATTGATTATTACCTTTGCAGAACACTGAACAATTATTTGCGTTTACATTTTCACGTTAGTGTTGCTCAATAATTATCTGTAATCAGTTATTTAATTTATACCGTATAACTAGGATTCCAATCATTAGGGACTTCCCAGAACCTTTTGGGAAATGTGATAACTATTTTAACGTCTAATTACATGGTTTTATAAGCTGGAGATGTTTGTGATAGGAAAAAAATGTTGTTAGATTTATTGTTTATTATGTTATGCCATGTACCCCTTTTCTAGGGAGCTTTCCATTGGACATCTTACTAACTGATGTGTGGAACCCTCACTACTAATCGAAAAAGGACTGCTTTTATTTACCAGTACAGGCTGCAGGAGATGAGAGTCCTGCTCCATGCAAAGTCACTGGCCCAGTGAGGAGTTTCTATATTTTCTTATTAGGGTCAGCCCTAGTATTTGCTACATGCATGCTCTGTCATTAAGGACAGGTGGATGGAGCTTAATGATCCTTTCTCTCTGCTGTTAAAGCAACTTTTACTCAACAAATAGGGTTTTAAAAGCCTACTCAGCTTGTTGGCCACAACCACTCCGACTTTCCACCAATGTTTCTACCATTGCCCCATTACCACCGCAGAAATACACCTATTTTAATACCTGCTGAGCATTCTAACACACTCTGCTTCCAAAGGTGCCCAATAAAAAAAAAAAAACAGAATCACCACAGCAACAAATTGCCATAAAACCCTTTGTGATAGATGTGTTCACTTAAAATACTAAGCGATATTGTTATTTCGTTTTATACACTTTTTATTCTGTTAACTTAACAACAGGCAAAGTACAAAACTTAAACTTAATTTAGTAAGAGACCTTTGATTTTAATATCGGATATATTTTTTTAATGAAATGGTGATAAATATAAGATCATCCACATAATTTTAACGAAATAGGTGGTTTTACACATATGTATATA